ACCCTTGGAATTACCTACCCAGATGTCATCTCAAATGCAGATTTATATGCTGTTACTGGCCAGTGCTCTGTATCTGAAATGGCCAAGCGGGACAGGTGGAAGCTATTAGGACATATATTACGCCAGCCAAGTGACATCCCTGCAAATGTTGCTCTCACTGCTTTCTGTACATATGCTACCAGTCAGCCCTTTCGAATAGGTGCACCCCGCTCTTGCCTCACCACAAGTCTCCAGCGAGACGTCCGCCTCACACCTATCTGCATTTTTAAGCCCAGCTGCCTTCGTGATCTCGGCACCTATGCCCGCGACAAAAAACAATGGAGTAACATCTGCTCAGCCATTTAGTCTAGTACTGCTCTTCTTAAATTTGACCTTTATTACAAGACTCTTCTTTTCTTTTTCATTTCGTTCTCCCACTCTCACACACACATGACCACAGTTTATTCTGCCGTTGTGAGTCCCATTCGGGACGGATACGAGAATAATAATAAATAATAATAATTTCCCTTTTGTCTCATTCCCTCAAAACCAGTTAATATTTTATGACTTGGGGCTCCCCACGTGCTACTTTGTATGTGAATTGCGTGGGTACAGTGAGGGCTGCGTCCCACCCGCCTGTGTGGATTCACAGGAAGTGTGAGTTACGAAGGCTGAAGAACATGTTGAACGGTCTCTGCTTGGATGACGACTACACCATAGCTCAGTGGTTAGAGCATCGCTGGCTACAAGCGAGGGTCCCTGTTTCGATTCCTGGTGGTGACAGTCAATATTTTCTTCAGACTTTTCCCGTTTGTCTTATTCCCTCAAAACCAGTTAATATTTTATGACTTGGGGCTCCCCGCGTGCTAGTTTGTACATGAAGCGTGTGGGTACAGTGAGGGCTGCGTCCCACCCGCCTGTGTGGATTCACAGGAAGTGTGAGTTACGAAGTCTGAAGAAAATGTTGAACGGTCTCTGCTGGGATGACAACTACACCATAGCTCAGTGGTTAGAGCATTGCTGGCTTCAAGCGAGGGTCCCTGGTTCGAGTCCTGGTGGTGACAGTCAATATTTTCTTCAGACTTTTCCCGTTTGTCTCATTCCCTCAAAACCAGTTAATATTATTATTTGAAACTCGGATGTTGAGCCATAAATAAATGTAGAAAGGAAAAGGAGATATGGATACGAGTTAAGAGTACCTCTCTCTCACTGTAACCAGATACTATATACAGTCAGAAAGTGCAACAACTAGGCACAAAACTGACAGAGTACTGAGACATTCGACGTCCTGACACCTAGCTTAAAAACATCTCCGTAGCGCTAACCGACAGCCTTCCAATTTGGAAGGTTGAAGGTTATGGAAAGACCAAAAAGGGAAAGGCAAGCGCAACGAAAACGAGCAAAAGCTACAGTCCCAACGGAACAAAGATTGTTGATTGTTACTGGACGATGACGAGACCAGTACGATATTTGACAAAGCGGTTTAACCACAATTCGAAGCAGCAAAGCAGCACACCACCCAACTCGGGTGGGTCATAAAATATCAAAGATGAGTAAAGAAAGGGGAAGCTTTGCGAAAACGAATTGTACAAGCCGAAAGCCAAACTCCTACAGTACTCCTCATGCATCACATTGTGATGGACTAGTTGACTACAAAACCAGTTGTTTCACACGACGTTCGTTTTGCCGTATGGTTCGTGACGGCTCATCAGGTGTGCAATTTGAAACTCATGAAGAATTTATGTTGGCAATTTATGTTGGCAATCACCCACTCTCTTAACATTGGCCGGTGTTTCCACCGAGTCTTGAGATGTTGTAATAAATATTATTATATTAATATTAATGTTTTTACAATAAAATGTAGTAGAATAGCATTGTTTGGTTGAGGAAGGTTACTCTTTCTCTCTTTCTTCGGAAAGGTTGGTATTTATTGGACATGGTTAGTCTGGTTTGGTTTGGGTGGCGGCGAGACAGCGAGACAGCGAGACATGAACGATGAGAATATTCCAACTTTCTGAATTTTCAGTAGCAAGTTTCAACGGCCGCGGACTGACGTCCACATTGAAGTGAGAAGCACTCCGACGGGACCTCAAAAATTATCGAATCGACATTTGCGCTTTGCAGGAGACGAAGCTATCGGCTGGGCTTGACGAACAGCAGGACGGGTTTCGCTTGATAAGCCCAGCGCCGGAGCGTAGGCACTATATTTTGGGCTTCGCTGTTTCATGGTCCCTTTCGAGCAGAATCCATCAATTTTGGACGTTGTCCGATAGAGTTGCAGTGCTCACGCTACGGGTCGACGACGCGACCGCTGGTGGCCCGGCTCCATTCGCTACTCCGCTTCTGCCCAGCCATGGTTCGTCGTCCCTGATAGCTGTAGTAAATATATATGCTCCAAATTCAACTATCTGTGCTCGTGATGCCGAGGAGTTGGATAACTTTTACGTCACCCTAGCCAAGGCGTACAGCCAAGTGAAATCATCGTCAGTAGTTCTGCTGGCTGGCGACTTCAATGCCAAGGTCGGCGGTGTCCGTAACTCTCAAGACTCATGTGCGGGGAGGCACGGGCGAGGCAAGAGGAACCTCACTGGACAGAGCCTCGTCGACTTCTGCAATAGCAATAACAATAACCTTTTTCTGTGCATCACCGCATTTCAGCACAATGCTCGGCACAAGACGACATGGACTGGCTGGCGCAAGGACCAGAAAACCAACACCACCATACCTATCTACAACCAGATAGATTACATCGCATGTCGATTACAACAGAAAAGGCTTATGACCGATTGCAGGAGCTATGGCGGGTGCGAAACCTCATCGGACCATCGGCTCGTAGCCGTGAGAATGGACATGCAAAGAATTTTCGGTATCTTCGGTCGCGAGAAGAGTGCCGTGGCCAAACGGGAACGTACGTGCATAGATACAGCGAAGCTTTCCGATCCTGCAATCCGGACCACATACAGAGAGAGACTGGCGAACGAGCTGGACACAGCTTCTTGTACCTGGGATAAAACAAAGCCATTCGACACGTGCAACAATGTGCTGCAGACGGTGAGCAGAATGGCCAAGGACGTTTTTGGGATACGTCAACCGTAGCAGACACAAGAAATCAGACCCTGCGATACAAGAGCTATCACTCCAGCAAAAGAATATTCGTCTGAGTATCAACAACTCCACCAACACAGCAGTCAAGGCCAATCTGAAGAGACAGCGAAATGACCTTCAACACACCAAGGGGACGTTAATCCCGCTCCAGAAACCCGGCCAGCCAGTTGGACCTCCGAGTAACCTTCGACCAATTATCCTGCTGACGGCACTGCGCAAAGCCCTCTCCATCATTACTCTTCAGAGAATATCATCACAAGTAGAACAATATCTCTCTTCAACGCACAGCGGTTTCCGCAGAGGCAGGTCAACGGCGGATGTGGTCTGGAGCCACCGTTGGTATGCTGCAGCCTGTCAGAAATACAAGAAGCAATTGGTAGTCCTCGGCATTGACATGTCAAAAGCATTTGACTCCATCCGCAGAGACCGTCTACTGGCAGTTCTCAATTACTTCCTGCACGAGGACGAGATCCGTCTCATCCGTGTCCTACTAGCCAAGACATCCTTCTGTGTACGTATCGGCGTGTCCTACTAGCCAAGACATCCTTCTGTGTACGTATAGGCACAGCAACATCCGAATCCGCTGATACCACTATCGGGACGCCCCAGGGCGATTCCTTGTCCCCTGTTCTATTTGTGGTATATCTCGAGGCAGCTTTGCGGGATGTAATGAGCACTGCTACTGCCAGGGCTCGGCCATCATCGGATCTCGGCTTGCCATTTGAAATTGCGTACGCCGACGGCGCGGATTTCATCAGCACAGAGTCTGGCTGGTTAGATGACCTGGAGCCGGTTATCGGTGACGTCCTCAACGGATGGGCTCTGAAGGTAAACCCGGATAAAACAGAAATTACCATTCTGGGCCGATCCCTGGACAGAGTAGCTGAACAGTGGCGCACCACCAAGAAGCTCGGCTCACTCCTCTGGGATAACGAGGATGTCTCTCGGCGGAAACAACTAGCAGCTGCAGCGTTTCGATCGCTCTGGTCACTATGGAGCCGGCGCAGTACCGTTGGAGAAGAACTGAGGCTTCGTCTCTACAATGCGTTTGTACTACCAGCGCTAGTATATAACGCCGGCACATGGGGACTCATGGCAGCTGCCGAGGGTAGACTCCACGCATTCCACCGCGGCCAGCTCCGTTCACTGATCGGCTTCGTCTGGCCGTAGAAGATCGCAACAACAGCACTCTACGACAGGTGCAAGGCAGAGCCGATCAGCCGCATCATCACCAGAGCTAGGTGGAGGCTATTTGGCCATGTCCTTCGACTTCTCAGTGATTCCCCTGCCGTCCTAATCATGGTCAGCTACTTTGAATGTGATGACCACAAGTGGAGAGGCTGCCCTCGCATCACCCTGCCGGGGAAGCTCGACGACGACCTCCACCGAGCTTCGTGCGGGAGATTGCAGAGCCTGGAAGATCTGGAGCGCCTATCAGACGTAGCTGCAGTTCGAAGCGAATGGAGGCAGCTACTGGATATGATCTGCCAGTAGAGGTTCGGCGATGAAACCGCGCCGTCACCTTTTTCCCAGATCACGGAAATATCGCTCAATACACTTTAAACATTCTATACACAAAGGATTTACAGCTACGTTTGTGCTTGTTGCCTTTATGTCTCCTATATCAACTGCTTCTCTTACCATGTCCAGCATAAGCAAACGTGTGGGCTGTGTTTGTGCATGGGCAACTTGCACTTGCACCGTTGACGCTGCCGCGGGAATGCATATAATAATAATAAAATAAAAGAATAGCATAGTCTAAATCTATTTCACCAACCTACAATTGTGGTGATGAACACAGACCCTCTCAAATATCAAGATCCATCTACACCCCTTAGGCACTGTGTGTATTGTCGGCCTCCTAGATCATGACTTGTATAACATAACTTGATCTGTGATTTCTTGTTTCTATGCAGTGCCGTGCCGCGCCCAACTACCAACACATTTCCTGGAGACGTCCCACCCCGTAACGGACAAGGCCGGCACCGCACATTGTGGCCAGACAGCTGCAGACGTCATTCTAGTGGTCGATGAGTCCAGAAGCATGGAGCCACACTACAAAAACAGACTCTATCAGATCGTGGGAAACCTATCCGTGAGCCTTGAGGAGCATGGCATTGGTCTCTACCCTGGCAAGCCGAACCAGTATACAGTTGTTGGCTTTGGCCATTTGAAAGGAGAGACGGGGTCTGATGGCCACGCTGGACCACACGTCATCCGCAGTAACAATGGTCGTCAGGTGTACGACCTAGCTGGTTTCCGGGAGGCATGCGCTAAACTACAGAATACAGGGTCTGTGGAGGACGGCTACCTTGCCATTAAATATGCGCTGGAGAATATTACCTCTGAAGGAAGTTCGTTACTCCGATTGAAGCGCCACGACGTTGCGCCAATCATCATCTTGGTATCAGATGCAGACAGGGATATCCAACTACAAGGGAAAGGAATCACACGCAACTCCATTAAGAAGTTGATACGCAAGAGTGGAGCTACCCTCGAAGCCATCGTGGACAACAGCATCTGGTACAACAACCAGCGAGGCTTTGGAATGGATTCCAAAGGCACATTGTACATTGCTGAAAACACTACACACTACACAACATCAAACAAACAGCAACACAAACGCTACTTGGCTTTGCATTACCGGAACACGCGCAAAGACTACTCTTCCGTTGCCCTGGAGCTGAAGGGCGCTGTGTGGGACTTGAACTCGATACTGGATAGTGATGCGCTGTTTGCTTCCCATGTGAACGCATTCGTTGAGAGTACTGTTACCCATGTTGAGAGCAGGGTGCATAAGTGTTGCTCGTGCCAATGTGCTCACGGACCGGAGCATAGCTCTTTGCACTGCACGTATGCATCGTCTGTTCAGGAGTGCAAGCGCCCCTAACTCGCCAATGGTTGTTACGGTGTATCCCCTGTGTTGTTCTGAAAAAGGTGTTTTTGACCGTTTTTGTTCCGTGACATTTCATATCCGTATGCACAGTAATACAGCAGTTGTGGTAGCAGCAAGAGTTCATATGTAGCCTTGGTAGGAGTAGTATTTTGATAGGGAAGGCCCTACAGACGTTGTCGACTTGTTACAGTTCAACACTTCACACAGTATCTTCCCATTTTGCATGCAACCAAATGCCATGTTTGCAGTCTCATTCAGATTCGCACTGTTCCGCAGTGCAGTACATTTTCATTTTGATCCTGCCTTTCTGAGTACAGCTCTGTCGCGAAGCTAGTTGGTTTAATTTTGCTATTTTACATGTTTTAGTTCTAAAGACTTTATCATGTTTCGGCACTGCAGCAATTTGTAGCTTTCTCTTAGTCTAGACGTCTATGTGGTAAATATTGTACTATGAACTCTGTACGGCAAGTTCTGACACATGCAAAGTTTGTAGCCTCAGACCCTCTAGGTTTACACAGCCATGCCAGAGCTCGCATTTTTCCCAACTGCTGCATACTGCTGTCCCAAAATAATGAAGTGCGCGTGCTCCGTACGATGTTGCACTGCCACGTTCACTTATCGTATAAATTCTCTTGCAGTCCGAGCAAATAAATCAGTTATCAACTGTGCACTTGCGGGCTTGTGCCGGTTAGTGACATGGTGCCGAAACCTGCTTCCTAGTTCCTCGCCACTGCCCCAACCGAGCCTTGGTCCTGGTTGACTCGCCCTTTGGGGTTTGAGTTGTGAAAATGGGCGACACAAGATTGCCGACGGCTATCCAGACGAGCAAGCGTGCTCTCAAGCTCCTGTACGAAGAGCTGCAGGGGGAGACGAAAGTCGGTGAAGATCTGCTAGCAGGAACCAAACCCGTCAACCAGATAAGTCCGTTTCTTTGTAGTTTAAAGGAATTGTTGGAAATAACGGACGCTAACTTGAATGATTTTGTTCAGAATGTGGAGTAATATGAGCCAAAGGGTAAAAACAACAAAGAGATTAAGAATGGTTTGGAGGATGGGGCTGGGTTATGGACAGAGACACTAGAGAAGGGTCTCAAACTCCAGAGAAAATTGAGAAAAATGGAATTGGAATCAGGCGTCCAGCCTACAATGCAGACAGACTCTACCTTGCTTGACATTACGAAATTGATTGGGACGCAAGCTAAAACCCAAGAGTCAACCCAAAATCTTCTAAAGAGATTGGTAGAGCGGGATACTAGACCCATAGTAGAGCGGGATACTATAACCGAATCAAAGCCCCAGACAACTGCCAGATTACCCAAATTTGAGCTAACGCATTTTGACGGGGACATGATGGAGTTCCAAGAGTTTTGGAACATTTTCGATGCTACTATTCATGACAACTCCTCCTTGTCACCAGTTGAAAAATTGAGCTATCTCCGTGAATGTGTGGGAGGGAAAGCACAAGACATACTGAACTCTGTAATGCAAATTATGAAGTTGCCCGGGATCTGCTTGAGACGAGGTACGGGACTAAGCAAGCTACGGTGGATGCCCACTACACTGCTTTAATGGAGATGTCGGCCTGCACCTCAAAAGTCGGAAGTTTGAGGTCTTGTGTTGACAAAATTGAAGTGCTCCTTAGGAGCCTTGAAGCACAAGATGAGGATGTATCGCAAAAGGTCTTCATTACAATAATCTTAAGGCAAGCTCCCGAGTGATGTGAAATTACAACTTGAGCTCACCAAACAGAACGATGAATGGACAATTAGAGAATTGCGTTTGGCACTATCGCACTTACTAAAGGCTAAAGAGAAGGCAGAAGGACCAGCCGCATGCAAAGGTCACCAATCATGGCAACACCCCAATCACTCAAAGAAGATACTATCAACAGGGCAGTCTCTATTTGCGGGTGCTGGTGTAGCTCCTTCTATCAAATGTATGTATTGTGATGGAAAGCATTACTCTGATGAATGTCAAATGTACAAATCATTAGATGAACGGAAAACATGGTTGGGGATGAAATGCTACATCTGTCTGAAAGCGGGACATGGAGTAAGAGCTTGCATGAATGCTAGAACATGCTACCATTGCAAACGCAAATCCCACCACAGAAATCTGTGTCCACAGAAATCTGTGTCCACAGAAGTTCAAGTCAAATGAAGAGCGAAAAAATGATGGGAAGCATCATGGCGATGGACAAAAACAGGCACGCACATTGAATGCAATGGCAGAGACATTTGAACCAACACAAGATCAGGCAATGGTTTCTCACACACAAGGGCACAGGGTTCTAATGCAAACTGCTTTGACTACTGCAACAAATGAGGAAGGCAACAGGTCACAGACTGTAAGGATCTTGTTTGACACGGGTTCATCGAGAACATACATCAGTGAGAATGTCAACAAAGCATTGGGACTCAAACAAGAAGGAAGTGACATAATTTCACTTGCAACCTTTGGCGCAACACACAGATCGGTAAAGGAATACCCTGTAGTCAATTTGCACTTCATGCAGAAGAATGGTGAATTAGCTTCCATACAGGCAAATGTTATCAACAACATTTCGTGTCCACTCCAGAAAGTACTTTTGAGCACAGCAAAGCACTCTAGCTTACAAAAGCTTATCTTAGCAGAGCCTTTATGCAATACACCTGAAGCAATGCCTATTCATATATCAATTGGAGCTGACCAATACTTTCAATTTGTTGGCAGCGAAAGATGGGAATACCCAGATGGTCTCATTTTGATCGATTTCACTCTTGGGTTTTTGGTGGCAGGCAAGGTGAAATCGAACAGAAATGGTGATCACACACTAATGTGGGGTTGGGGGTGCGAAGGAAACGCTAATTTTCACCCACCCTTGGGCAGGTGTGCCGAAAACACCCATATAGTCATATCCATGTTGTGACGTGCGCGCCCCAGAGGAAGGCCTGATTTCGCAACAAACTCGTGGTTTTACATCCTGTTGTCATTTCCCTAGACTACACTGTCTCTTTCTCTTTCAGTTAGGCGCTTGACAATTTGACGCGAGACATTTCGAGGTGGTCAATTCATCTAATGACATTTTGCGACTGTGCTGTTTCACAGATTGATTTTTCGCCGCATAACACATTCGACGAGTACATTTCGGTGAAGTTACATTTTCACCACCGACCCTGTCGCCGAAATTCACTGAAAACTATAAGCTTTGGGTAAGCTTTCGTACTCGTACGAAATCCTTTATGTTGGTGACTCAATCGTGGACGCTTATCCCGATTTTACTAGCCTAACTTTGCGAGGCAAACCCAAACTATGTAGTAAAGGATGGGTATGCCTACGTGCAAGACAAAAGAGGAAGAAATGAGAGTGTTTACTGGAGATGCGAAAGAGAGACGAGCTGTCCTGTCAGTTTTCATGATACAGGCTGTGCGACTACTTGTGTATGGAGATGCGAAAGAGAGACGAGCTGTCCTGTCAGTTTTCATGATACAGGCTGTGCGACTACTCGTGTACATGCACACCACCAGTTGCGACTGTGCTTTTTTATTTATTTAATATGGATTCTCCAAAGGCCGAGGCCTAAGTCAAGGGGGTCTCCGTTCATGGCGTACTGGGAATAAGTCTGCAAAATTATAACATTATAGATTGAGAAGAGGAAGGGTGAGCTCCTGAAGAGGAAGGGTTATAACAAATGCGTACTGTAGAAATCAGCCATAACATTCGTTCCTATACGAACTTAGAAGTTGCGACTTCGGCGGTAATAGTCATGAAGTTCGTGTATTGAGCAGGGAGTGGTGCTTTCTTTCAGGTTTGCCGAGCGGAAGGTGCGACGTGCCCCTCGTGTGCTCCGGATGGCAGTCGTGAGTCAGTCAATTTGTCAAGTTCGGCAAGAAGCGTGTGCTCCTCGTTGGAGCAACCAACTTCATTCGTTCCCATGTTACAGAAACTCTGGAAGGAATGAAACCAGCGGGTTCAAAGCGGGTGTTGGCAAAGATAGTACGGACACGAGACAAAAAGCAATGACTATTTTGGGTGGTTCTAATATCAGTGGCGAGAGAATTCCAGGTGACAGCGGTAACAAAGAGGAAAGTGGCACGCGAGTAGGTGTTCGCCCTGGCAGGCCGGACAAGTTGGAGAGGGCGCCGCACACTGGTGGAGAGACTATAGCCCAGCTCCCTAAAGGCAGTGGTCTGGTGGTGGACCAGGTGATGGAGCTCCAGGAGGCACTGGACGTGTCGCCGCCATGCCAGACTTGGCCATTGGAGGTGCGCGAACAGAGATGCCTTCGGTTCAGTAGCGGAGGGAAACTCACCGTACTGTAGGCACTGGCGGTTTATGCCGGCATAATTATTGGCATAATTTGGTGGCTGAAAATTTGGAGCATAATTTGGCATCATTTTGGAGGTAGGACCATAACTACTCGATTGTACCACAGTTCTAGTATATAGGCTACACAATTGTGTACACTACACCTAATCAGTCCCGGTGGTCTGCATGGTAAAGGGCTTGAAGTTGGAGGCCATGCACTGCAGATAGTGTTTTCAATGAAAAGCAGGGTAGAAATCATTGCAATACATTATTGTATGGTCGAACTCGTCTTCTTCAAAGTTCTTTATCACACTGACACAGTTAGTCCACAGGCAAATGGTGCAAAAAGTGACTATTCGCTCTTTTCGCTCCCGTTCAAGGGGGGCAAAGGTTTGCCATGTGCAAATGATAGAGAATGCGTAGAGCTTTCAGGATCTGTGTTACTTGACCCAGAAACATGGGGCTTTGTTGACCAAATCGACGAAATACTTCTTGAAGAGTGTTACCATAGCAACCAAAGTGATAATTCCCAATTTAGGTATCTTGCAGATTAAATACTAACAGTGTTGCTTTGGAGTGAAGTAGCCAAGGCCCAGACCTAGCTGTGTACAAATTTTCATGATGATCGGAGGTGTCTTACTACCTCAATAGCATTGCTTGGAATAGAACACAATAGACATCCTTAGCAAAAGTACGATAACGCTAACTTTTACGGTACTCACTCCCAGCCGTGACAAAAGACGTTATCGGATAACGGAAAAACGTTACAGAGCTCAAAATAACGGGCCGACGTTCGTTATGGAAATTCTGCAAAAAATGCAAAAACTCGCATTGTTTTGTAACTGGCGGGAGATAAAAAGCACGTCGACGTGCAGATCGAGATGAGATCGAGAGTCGAGATTGCTTCCTCTTGTGACATTTAGCTTTTTGGCGAGTTTTGCCTTTCAGTTGACAATTTCTGCGTCCTCTGCTTCGTGCCGTTCTCCCTCTATCCCATCTGGGAAACAAAGGACCAGTTCCGCGGCACTCCTGAGGAAGAAATTCATCGGCCTCTCCCAGACGTGCTGGAGCTGGAGAACCCTTACAGTCTTCGGTGCTGCGTTTAGGAAAGGGTTTCCAAGGACCTGGGAACAGCGAAAAATCATGTTCGCCGTGCTTTTGCTATTCCAGAGTAAAAGACCTCGCCAAGGTATTCTTTTGGAACGACAGCAAACTAATCCCTGGTTCAAAATTTTGAATTTCCCGCATCTGTTTCCACGAAAATTCATATCGCCATGGTTGTCACGACTACTTCGTCTCAACTATAACGTACTTTGTGCTAAGGGAAAAGTCAGCTTGAACGATCCGAAGTACGGAAAGGTTTGCG